TCTGTTATTTAACAAAACTCTGTAACTATTTTCATTATAACCCACTAAAATTCCTAGTTGAGCTTTATCATCCCATTTACTTTTTCTTAACACTTCAGGAACTCTAACATAGACTCTACTTCCATAAATTTTTAAATGCTCTACATTTGGTTTGACCCCAAAAAATATCTCATAAGGAGTTTTATTTTCAACTGTATTTGCAATAGTACGATTCTTTAAATAAGCTGCTGTTTTTATTACTTCAGGCCAGTACCTCCTATGTATTTTAGCTTCTCTCATTAAACATCTACCTATATCCATAGCAGACCTATTATACCTCTCCGCTACTCCGTTTAACTCATGAACATAAGGTGGACATTGGGTAACAACTCTATGCCCTTATACCTTATAAAATTATAAATATCCTTATTTAAATACTCTCTACCATTGTCACACTGAATCTTCTTGACTCTTTTATTAAATTTATTTTCTACTAAATTTATAAACTCTATAAAACACTTTGCAGTTTCAGCTTTACTTTTAATACAAAATATCCTGGTACACTTACTATAATCATCAATAAAGGTTAAAAAATATTTTTCTCCACCATAACCAGTTGTGTTATGTGGCCCATTCAAATCAGTATGAATAAGTTCTAAAATCTCAGTAGTTTTTGTTCTATTATTTTCAAAAGGTACATTAGTCATTTTACTCTGAATACAATTTGAACATTTCATTTCTGTGCTTTCAATTTTATCTGGCAAACCATCTACTAATTTATTATTTATTATCTTATTTAAGTATTGAAAATTCACATGACCAAGTGCCCTATGCCATTTTTCTTTCTGCGTTAACTTTACAGAATTTGTGCATACTTCATTTTTTAAGACATAACCTTTTAAGCAATACAAATTATTAATTTTATCAGCAACAACTATCAACTCTCTAGACTCATTATATATTTTAGCACTTTCATTTTTAGCTACTATTGTACAACTATTAGTTACCTTTGAAAAACTTAATAAATTTTGTTTTATTCCTTCGACATAATAGACATTTTCTAAATCTACATACTTCACACTATAATAGTTTTTGAAATACATTTTTACAGTACCTACTTTGGTTGCTTTCAAGGTTTTTCCATCTGGTAATTTTACATCAACAAAATCTTTCAAATCTACACTGTCATAAAAATATGAATAATCATTAAATGATTATTCATATTCAGTGCACCCACTATCTAAAAGCCAATTAACTACATTACTATTATTATTAAATGTTACCTTTTCATTACATCCGGATACCTGGTTTACTTCTGGTTTACATACTTCAGCTGTCCATGACTGGGAGGGACCGTTGCTCGAAGATTCACCTTTAGGATGATTGCTAGATGAGTGGCCTTGACCTCTGCCTCGGCTGCGACCTCTGTAGGATCCTCTCTGATGTCCTGCTGACCCCGACTAGACGACTGGAAACTTCCTTGAGAACTTTTTTCTCCTTGATTATTTCTCTGAGCGTGCCAACAATCCTTCTTGAGATGACCAGTCTTACCACAGACAAAACATTGAGCTCTTGTGGTGCTGGTTGTATATGTACTCACATTATTTTTCTTGTCATCGCACATAGTCATATTTTTCTCCTTTATTTTTGAATGTACATAGTCCACAGTCCTTTGTTCTTCAGGAATCACGTCCAGAAAATCTCCTATATACTATAACTTGGTGGTAGGGCTCTGAGCAGGTATCTTAACTTTTCAGGTTCATCAATTTTACCTCCGGCTGTTTTGAATTCGTTTATGGATTTTTCAAAATCAACGAAGAAATCCTCTACTGTGTCGTAATTATTTAATTTGATCGCTTCCACTTTTCCTCGACATATAATTTGAAGAGATGTTGATTGAGTAAGATACATTTTGTCGAACTTTTGTAACATGTCAAAAGCTGTCTTGCACTCAGTGATATAGTCTAATTGTTTGTACGAAATAGTACTCATAATAATAGTCCTTGCCTTTAAATCCATCTTCTTCCATTCCGCTTCTGTATTTTTATATTTCACCGGCATTATGCCTATGGCGGCCTCGTTGCATTCTTTGTATTCCAACAAAGTAACCAACCTTAATTTCCAACTCGAATAGTTTGCCCCATCAAAAATAGGTATCATGATGTCTTCTATTTTAGCTTGTTGTGCCATATTTAAGTATATTCTTGTAGATTCAGTCGTTTTCAAAACCAACTTTTTCGTTGTGACCGGATAACCTCAATCGTAATTTGATTTCATAATTGCACTTCATATTTATTGACTTTTTCGTGAAACCACTTAACCACGGACTGCCACCATGTTGAAGTGGTGGATGTGGTTGAATAATAGATAATAGCTTGTTATATTTCGTAGTTTTATTAAAAATCACACAGAAAGCACATGATGGGCGCCATGCAGACGACAAAAGGGAAGAATACAGATGATATATCGACGTCTATGAGAAACTTGCCAACTTAACACTAGATGGCGCTACTTATATAATTTAACTTAAGATTATAATATTTACCTTATTACAACAATGTCTTCATTCTTTCCTTGATATATTATAAAGTGTTTGATAAAACCGCGTTGGTCAGCGAGGCACCATAGCTTATACCCCCTTTTTAAAGGTTTCATGGGGAGATATTGTTTCAATACTGACCTGCCTTTGAATTTGACCATGGACTCATCTACACTTAATTCTCTGGTTCCATTATAACATTCTTGAAATTTTTTATTTAGTGCATCAATGAAAGGTCTGATTTTATATAATTTATCTTTACCATTGCAAGGCATTTGCGTGTTATCATTGCAATGAAGGTGGCTCAGAATTACTGCAAACCTGTCTCTAGGCATAGTTTTACATATCTGGGGGTTATTCAAATCAGGTGCCGAAGAATAATGATCTGTCCACGAAGGCCGGCTATTGTAACCCATATAGAAGTTAATTCCGATAAAAGCCAGTAGTTCTTCTTTTTTCAAGTTCAGAATTTTACCTCTTTGTGTTGCAAATAAGTTACTTTGATAGACAATATTATCCAGTACATCACGTATCAAGACTAAAAAAATATCAGTTGCTGAAGTACAAGCCGCAAAATATACTTCAACTACCCCCGTGTTAGCAGAATATTCTGGTAAATACGTTTCTACATCACGTTTCTTCCATTTACGATTAGGCTTAATAGCTTTTTTTTTGGATTGTGCATGTGTCGGCGTAACAGTTTCCTCAAGCTGTAAATTATCTGGGACAGTGTCAGGAACAGAAAATAAAATTACCTCTTGGTCTTTATTGGCACTTGCATCTTCTGCATAAATTAACTTACCGTTTGCGGCAAAATCCACTCTATAATCACATTATATATCGCAGATTCACGGCAATTGATATCACTAATATCTTGGAAAGTAATTCAAAGAGGTAAACACACGGAGATATGAATTAGCATGAGGAAATCGGCCATCGAGTTCCAATAACACCTTTACTCAGAGTAAAGGAAAAACAATACCGCCTGAAAAGAGAATAGGCATGCCCTAATGCTGGCACCCCACCAATTTATTGGCACTCTAAATTATTTGCTAAAAATAAGGACACTAACTAGTACTCCATGATCATTTCTCTGTCGAAAAAAACTTAGGTATATGGTCTTTCTAAATTCGCAACACTAAACGTCAGTTAATTCAAACAGCTGTCAAACTTTAAAACTTCATTCGAGTCGCAACAAATTTATGGATAAGTATCTGTTTCCTTTGTTTATGTGGTAATTATTTTGATGACAACACTAATTATTTTTGGGGGCACTTTGCAGTCTGTTCGTTTTTTATTTATTGCAATGCCAATAATTAGTGAGTTTTAGCTATTATGAATAGAGTCTGTTTCACAAGCTATATCCAACTACGTAATATCAGATCAGAAGGGTGTCGAAGAAATAAAACATCCGAAAGCGATCACGGTATATTGGCGACTGTAGTACAATTACATGAAAATGCGGGCGCAGCCACATCGCTGCACAGTTACACATACATAACGTAATCTTATAGGTACAAAGTACAATGTGTGCGTAGCCTACAGAGTCAATCAGACCCTGATTCTAATTTACTGGCCAATAATTTGGATTTTAGTAATACATATTTTTAATCTTATTTTCATAAATATATGACCTATTTTCCTCATCTATTCTTAAAAATCTTTGTAATTTATATGATTTCCAAATGTTAGCCCCATGCCAATAGTGAGAAATCTTATTGTTGTCAGTAATGCCAGTAATTGGAAAAAATATGCTATTAATTGGTTTTATGTATTGAAAATGAAGCCAAAAAAACCCACTAAGAAACCAGCTAAAAACATGATGAGGGAGGAGTGCAACGACGAAAAAGGTATTCAGACGAGAATGTGCAAAATGCTTGACAGACAATACAAAGTGGTATGAGCAAAAAACTTACTTCGAAAACATTCATGGTGCCAAGATCAACGTTGCAGCTTAGAACAAATTTCTCTGGTAAGAAAGTTCGTCCTGGTCCATGAACTGCCCTATCAATGCCTGAAGCGCTAAGCCTGAAAAACTGGTTGATAGATTGTAGTAAAAAAGGTTTTCCAAAGAGGAAAGATGATCTTCTTGCCAGTGTTGCTGATTTTTAAAAAAAAAACGGTAGGGAAAATCCTTTCAAAAATGGGATACCGGGCGAGAAATGGTATAAGCTTTTTTTACCACGTCATCCGGAAATCTCAATAAGAACTGCAGAGGCAGTAACTTCCTCAAGCGCAACAGTCACCGAAGCTGATATTAGAAATGGTTTCCGGACATAGAGCAAAATTTACGTGACAATCATTTGTTAGAGATCATTAAGGATCCTAAACGAGTTTACAACGGCGATGAAACTAATTTCCTATTGTGTCCTAAAAGTGGAGTTGTACTAGCAGCAAAGGGTGATAAAAACGTATACAAGAATAATTTTACCAAAGTTAAAAAAAAGATCTAAATACACAGAGAGCAGAATCTTCACTAGCGATGTTTGTGTGCGCGCATTGTTCGATTATGGCTGTCGATCATTTATCAGACTTATGTAAACACCGATTCGGTGACAGCAAAAGTGGAGACTTACGAGTCCATCGTGCAGAATGTACGAATAAAATAAATCAGCATAAAAGCATTTCCATTATGCAAAAATTCATTAAAGATTATGAAAATAACTTAAATGTAATTAAAAACAATCAAATAAAAATTTACAGGGCAATAGACAGATATGCCACACGTAGGACTGAAGTCGAAACGAACTTCTTAACAGCAACTATTTTCAGCCAAATAGAAAATTCACTTCAGCAGCTTTACGATAGACTAGAAACCCTAGAAAATGCAATAACATTCTCTCATCAAGAAAAAATGCACCCTAGTATACTAGACGCGTCTTACCTCATAGAAGAACTCAATCAAGTACAAAATGAAATCAATGGCAATCTAGCATTCCCCCCAAATATTAACAACTATCAAAATAAAAGCCTATAGTACTAATGAAACATTGAACTTCATTCTAGACCTACCTAGAGGTATAGTTGCCAACCAATCCTATAATCTCCTACTCTATATATTCCATCTCTAACAACAACGACACTATCCTTATACCAAAAAACCCTTACCTTATCTTGGGAAATTACGAATTTGCATACCCCCCACGAGCCCTGTGACACCATAACAGACGATGAAGTAATTTGTAAACACCTTGAATGGAAAACTCTCCTACATTCCAACGATTGCATAGCCCAATTAATTCAACACCAAGAACCACATAACTGCACTTATGCCAAAGCAAATTACGATAATAACATTATCCAACAAATCAAAGACAATAGTTCGTAGACAGAGAATATAGGTAGACAAGTCCTCAGCGTATGCAGTATGAGATAGCGATAGTTTGACGTAAGTACGTTACTACAGCTATGTGTAATTAATATTGCCATACTTAAATTTTTACCCCATCGTGTGGGTAATCTAGTACTTTATTCGTTACGTACGAGACATTCAATTAATAAAATAGTCATTACACTTTCAAGGGGCGGGGTATTTATAACATTTTGATGTTTTTTTTTAAAATGGGTTAAAATCATCAAATGGCTTCTCTCGCCCTTGGGTGGAGCGAGAGGTAGTGTCAGACTCTTACTGACTAAAAAATCCCACTCCGTTCCTTCTTGCCTGTGGTACTGGGGTCAGAGCATGCCCTTTCAGATTCGCCCCCAGTCCCCAGTAGGCTTCGGCCCTTTGGGCCCGTACTAATTGCTGACAAACTATGAGACGCGCGGGAACAGTGCACGCCATACACGACTTGGGCTTGGTCCGGATCACTACCAGACGGTCAGGCGGCGAGCTACCCATTGCTCTCTACCCGCAAGCTCGCGCTATGGAGGTCGGAAATCGGGATCGGGATCCCCGGCGACGGTCGCGTCTGAGACGCAAACGCCGTTATCTCAAGCGCTTGACTTCCTCCTTTGCTAGCATTACTGCTTCGCAGAAGGACGCGACCGCCTGCCACCCCTCCTCAGGCCCAGGGCCCGGCGCGAGAGATCACCGCCGCCGATCGCCCCCACGAGGACACGACGATGTTCGTCCCAAGCGGGACACACCTCCACGGTGTGCTCCACCGTGTCCTTTGGGTGGTCAGCGCAGTACCGACACCCGGACGCCCGGACGTCACCTCCGCCTTCACCCGCAGCAGGTACCTCCCGAACTTGCCGTGTCCGGTGAGAACCTGAGTCATGCGGAAGGTAAGGACGCCGTAAGGTCTTTCCAATCACGCCTCAAAGAGGGGAACGTTTTGATATATACTTGATAGGAAATAAAACATCAGTTTCATGCATTTTTGTATGAAACAGGTAATTTTTATTTTCACATTTCAGGTTACTCTCATAGCAAAACTTTATAATCAAGTGCTGTAAGATTATTAGTTAACAGTACTGTGGAAAATAAAACAGCACTCGAGCGAATACTGAATGCGGCCAGGGTGAAGATGAAACGTGAAAACAAATGAGTTGTAATTGTAATTTTATTATATTTCAGCTCAATAGTATAGTTAGACAAATCATAATTAACACATTTATTTACGCGCTTTGTCACAGGCCCTGAAAGAATTCAGTTCGCGCGCTTATTATAGATGTGGCATAATTTTAGAAGCAAATAAAAATAATTGTGTATAAATTATAGTTTAATCAAAACTTTGAATAACAAAATACATAATAAAATAGAAATACAGAAGATATACATAATACAATAATTCTTAAGCCTTGTTTAGGGAGGCGTCAAGCGTTTTTCCGTTTATGGATCCACCGTTATATGATTACTGACCTTTAAATAAAACTAATTTATTATAAAAATTTCTGACCTTATCAGTTTTTCTGAAAGCTTTTTAGTTGCATAATGAATACGAACTTTGAAATATTTCAAACTAATAGCCTTAATTAAGAGCGAATAGTGACAGTCAAGGAAAGTTTGGCTGTTAAAATGTGATATTTTAAAAAAGAATGTTAAGCCCAAACAACGTCTAAGACTTTCTTGCATGAGCACAATAAGAACATTTTTTTTATTTAGACCTCGATTTTTACGAAATATTATCTCACAAATTTCACAAATTTTTACAACATCTTTTGAGGGGTAACATAATCCACCTTTGTCTTTTTGTAACTGTAGACTAGCATATTTAGTATCTGATATAATAGCAGACACACATTCCTCGCACGAAAGCTCTTTTTTCAGTTTGCTTACGACAAATCCAGCAATATATACTATAACATGTTTAGAAAATTCCGTCAATAGACTTGGATCAGTTAAGTAATCGTGATCCTTCATTAAAACTTCATCAAAATATTCTGAATTACTACTTTCGGCGACATTATCAATCATTATTTTTTTCTGACGTTTTGTTAATTGCTATTTCTGGTTTGGTCAATGTTAAAATATTTATATGTTGTAACGGTATACAATTTCCTGACGTTGTGTTTCATTTCCCCATGAACTAACATTCTTTTAAATGCCGACTTTAATTGTCTAGCAGAAGGGTTGTTGTTAAACCCTCCTTTGGCTCTAATGGCACTAAAAAATACTCCAAGTGATCTTGACTTAGTTTGTAAGTGCTTAAAAACTGAAGGTTATTATTTATCACTTGAGTTTCGTACAAATTAATTACACTTTTAATACAAATTAGAAAGCCTAAAAATCCGGTTTTTCTATTTGAAGACATTATTTTTGTCTCCTAATTTTAAATTGTTCAAATATAAAATCATTTCATCTAAAAATGGCTTGATGTGCGAAAAATTATTGACAGATAGTGGTTTTTTGTATGAATATGCTTTCAGATTCCTTGAATTCATTACGTCAAATAGATTATTAATTTTTTGAATAAAATCAACAGTACCAGCAGAGTTCTTAAATTCGTCAATATTGAGTTCTATATTACAAAATTGAATAGCATTTGCAACGGATTCACTCATTACTTGGGCTGCCAACTTGACCTTCATGATTTGTTTGTAAAAATTTATGTGTGATTTATTTAATTTGTTACCTAAATGCAAACCTTCGTTGTCTTGGAGCTCTACCAGTAATTTTACGTATTCCCATGACACAACACGACCTTGTGAGTCTGTTATTGGACCCTTTTCTCCTAAGGTATTCCTAACTAACTTCAGCATGTGTGAAGGGTCGGGAAATATTACAATATTATTATTGCCGACGGTGAAGGAAGGATCAATGTTATCACCGTCTAATTTACAGCCTAAAACTTTGGCCATAGAAAAATTTGTCGGGCATCCATCGAAAGTTAGTGAGATAATTTCAATACCGCAATCCTGAGTTAATATTTCGATACAATTTTTTACTAAACTGGCCTTTTGTTCAGCGCTTATCCCATCGATTAAAAAATATCCTAAAGGTATTTTCCAGGATCCATTTACACACGTTAGCATAAAAATTAACGCATCTTTAGCTAATTGATCGTTATTAACGTTATTTCCAAAATTAACAAATCCTATGCAATCTTTGCCATCAAAATCTAAACCTTTTCTAATTGCCATTTCATCAAAACTTAGGGCGCATATTGTTTTGTGTGACGTGTTTTTTTTTTGTATTTATTTCATGTAAAAATTTGACAGCTTTTATAGATTCTGTGGAAAAACCAGGATTTCCATCGATGCATTGGTACCATCGCGATAGTGTACGCGGATGAGGTAAGCAAGTGTTAAATTGTTTCCTAACAAAGCTGTAAGCTTTGGGACTGATGTAGTGGAGACTTAAGGCAAATTTCCGCAGTTCAGGCGAGTATTTCCGTTCAGCTATATTTTTACACAAAAACCTTTTTAAGAAATCTCGATTGGTTGCATCGATCGAAGACAGCAGGTCAGCAGCTTCCTGGTTGATTAATGAACGAGTTTTTAATTCCTCAATTATAGTAGATTGTTCAGCAGTTTTCTTTGCAAACGCCAGGTCTTAGATCTTAAAGCTGCTAATTTTTTCCTTCTATTATCACTTAATATGGTCTTCTTTTTCAATTTGCTAATTAACTTCTTTTTACGAGGAGTCATCTCAAGTTCCGGCGCTGCCACTATAGGTAATATTTCTTGCGTCTGAAATATAACAAAAAATATGTCTGACAACAAATACTTATTTACAACTACCTTAAATATTAAATATGATAAAATATCTCTACATCTTTAACGATTTAAATCACATGGTAACGTAATGTTTAAGTAGATAAACGGCTACACATACACAGCTAAAACAGCAGGAATTGCGCAGTATAAGATTTACAAGATTTAGTTTCCATAATAAAGACTGAACAAGAATAAACTCACCATAGTACTTTCTATTTCTACTTCCATAGCAACTTCTAATGGTAAAGATAGGTGACCATGACTATCCGTAATGGATGAACCGTCAAGCTGAAAAATATGATTATAGTTTTAAATTTGTAATATTTATCACCCAAATAAATAAGTACCTATACATAAAATACTGAATATACGACTTTTAGATTAAAAAAAAAACATTTTAATAAGTAAGTACCAAATAATCCTTTGCTTGCACATCAACCCCCAAAGTATCACATTTAGAGGTACTCGGTTGATCTAAAGCCGGTTGGACCTGAAATTTGAAACAAAAAGGACACGAATGTCCGATTAACTGCTAAAATAATCAATAATTAATGTTTTTTCAAATAAGTTAGTTTTACAGTATCTGCTTTACGTCGTTTGGTAGCTTAATAATCTATCTATACATATAAATAAAATTGGAGCGTCTTTTTGTAATATTGAAATAACTGAACTAATATTGAATAAACTTTTTACTACCTGCACATGAATATATATACGGTAAATAAACCAAGATATCATTTTTTACAATTTTTGTCTGCTTGTCCGGGCTAATCTCTGAAATAGCTGGACCGATTTTGACGGGACTTTTTTGTTGGCAGATAGCTGATTAATAAGGAGTAACATAGGCCACTTTCATTTTAGAAAATATAAATT